CTCCTCTCTGCAGTCCTTCTCTCTGCAGCCCTCCTCTCTGCAGCCCTCCTCTCTGCAGCCTTTCTCTCTGCAGTCCTTCTCTCTGCAGCCTTTCTCTTTGGTTACCCCACTTTCAGTGCACTCTTAAGTCAGAAGCCAAACAGCCAGAACACAGGTCAACAACAACAGATTCACTCCTTTGTTTGACTGAGCTGAGCCGTGAAGAAGTTTCTCTTCCTCAGTGTGGCCTCTGCCCTCCAAACTGCTGGGATTGCTCAGCAGCTAGCACAGAAGAAAGTATAGAGGAGGGAAAATGAAGGATCTCTGTATGGAGACCACAGCTCAGCTTTGATTCTCCTTGTACAGAAAGTAAGAGCAACTCTGGAGCTCAGCTCCCTTGCCTGGTGCCCACACTTAGTCTTCAGGCTCCATTGAATTGAAGTAACAGATTACCCAGACAGGAAACTTAGTAGATCTGCTACTAGTTTACAATAACTTCAAATTCTGATATTCTTTAATCTCCCCCACTGTTTACTCATAGAGTCTTCAAGCAGAGTCCCTGTCTTAAGTGCTCAGGTCTTTCTTATCACAGGCCTATGTTAAAGGGGCAAAAGGAAGTGTGTCACCTGGGTCTGTCCTAGAACCAGAATTATCATACCTAAAATTTTAGAGGCCAGTTAATAAGTGCCTCCTGTGAGCTAGAAACATGTTCCACTTTGCTTATGTAACTAACCCTTATAATCCCCACAATCTATATGTTGGAATAGTTATATATTACAATCTACATTGAACACAGAAGGAAACAGATGCTTAGAGAAGATTAAGTACTTTACCAGTGGTTACCTGACTAGAAGCAAGACTCATAAAGCCCATATGAATCATGCTATAATGTACCCAGACCACCTGCACTTAAATCAAGTACAGAATTTATTAAAGTTGAAGTTTCCTGTGCCCTACCTCAAACACACCAAAGTCAAATCTTTGAGAATGTGAATATCAGAGATTCTATGCATATTAAAGTTGAAAACCAATGCATTTCTGTACCCAGTGAAGGAAACCATCAGTCTAAATGACTATAAAGAGTATGTCAATATACTTCAAATAGAAATAGTCATAAATGTTGGCATCAATCAGCTCAAAATAGCTTACATATGCTCACTTTCCCTGCTCCTTTGCATCATGTTAAGGAACATAAAATAGAAATTGTCACAAACCAAGGTTCACTTTATATATAGCAGTATATTTCTGACCCCAAGCCTAGAATTTTTGCTCTGACTCTGGACCCTGAAAATCAGGACTTCTTGATAGGGTTCCTTCTCAAAATGTGTTAGTCAGCCAGTATATCAAATTCTACTTTCCCATCCATTCATCACTGACAGTTGCCACCTCCCTTCCTAGGAGGCAGAGCTATTGTGACTTTCCTAAAGAATCTGACTTGGGCCCACTTTTGTGAGGCTTGTTTGCATGAACCCATCCCTAACAGGTAAGTGTGAGTGAAACAGAACTAGAAATGTATTCTTTACGTATTGCTGGTAAGAAAAGAGAGCTTGTATTCAAGTAGAAATACAAAACTTCTTTAACTTGGATGAAAAGAAGTGTTGTATAAGTTTACATGTCATGGCATAATTACAACGATTGAAAATGTCGATCAAACTGCAGCACTCACTCAGCAAATCCTGCAAATGACCTAGAAAACACTGAAACCCTCCACACATTTCCTCCAAGGTCTCAGAATTTTTACAGGCACTGCTTTGATGGCTCATAGCAGGGATTATCATTCCTAACTCACATGTGGGAAAATCAAAGTCAAATATGCCATTATCTAAGGCCCTATGACAGTCTCCCTTTTGAAGCAATGTGCAAGCATATCATAACAGTAAGTCATATTTTAGTACTAAAATGTGTAGTAAATATTCTGCTTTGAAATAAAGGTCTTTTTCAAAAAGTGTTCTTATAGATACTTATGAAGAAGTTTAAACATTTCAAAGTAATCAGCAGAAATGAATCAAAAATTTAAAAAACAAAACAAAACAATGAAGAACTTGGGGAGAGAGGGAGCAGGACAGGGAGGGAGCGGGGCAGAGTCTGGGGGTGGGCCTCCAAACATATGGCACAGAAGGCAAATCTGTACTTGTTTAGAGTAGAGCTGCAGTTTCCATCTCTGCAGTTGAGTACGTAAATGACTTCACAGGCAACAGTTTCCGTATGTTTCATATTTTTAAAGCTGACCATTTGTAATAAAGGTTCTTTGATCCCAGATCAAATGTTGGAATCAATTTTCTCTACACTCCCCGAGTCACAATTATGAAAGCTTCCCCCTTCCACCTCAGCTGGGCCAGCTCTTCCTGAAGTCGGAACCATCGCCACTGGTCACTTTTTCGAGGCTACTTCCCACCCCTGCACTGTGGCTTTGAGCTCTGCTTGTTAACCTCTCACACAAAAGAGGCACCATAATAAATAATTCTTGTACATAGGAAGTTAACCACTCTAGTGAAAATGAATCCTCTGAGGAGTTCAGGGATCCTTAATAAGACAGAAAGTGTATGGTCACACAGGTGGTAAAAATCTAATCCTTTCTCAGGGAGGAAAAAGGTTTTGATAGGTGAAACCTTTGTCTGTGTGCAAAAAGCAAATAAAAATAAAAACAAATATATCTTAACTAGCTTATATTTCTTGGATTTAAACTAGTGAAAGTGAAGTGACACTTTGAAATTTTCAAAATTCTGTACTTTACTTCTAAAAAGGTCTTAAAACAGAAGATCTAAAATCGAGATAAAAGATGAAAACATTAAAAACTGTCTAGGCAAGGCTGAAAATTTAGCATATTCCTAACCTAAATTGGTCCAAGTATTTCAAGGCTTTCTCGGACCCTGCAGAGAAGAAATATTTCAAATATAACTTTAACTCCTAAAATATTTAAGCATGAATCCCACAGAAAGCTATTCATTAAACAAAGCTAACTGAAAAAGCCTTAAAATTTTTAGCAGAATATAAAGTTAATTTGCAAATACTTCAATTATATTTATGCCTAATTAAATATGATATAGAGGAAGGGGAGGGATGGGGGAGGTAGAGAGGAAAGCAGAAAAGTTCCAGGACCAAAAATCCTTCTAAAATTGAGAAAAGTATTATATGTGTGTGTGTGTTTGTGTATATATATATATATATATATATATATATATATATATATATATAATCAAAGAAAAAGAGGCCATAAATTCGAGAGGGATTGAGAAGGGACACATGAGAAGGATTGGAGGAAGGAAAGGGCAATGATATAATTATATTTTTATTAAGATTTAATTTTTTTTCTTTTATTTTATTTTACAATACCATTCAGTTATACATATCAGCCATGGGTTCCCCTGTTCTCCCCCCTCCCACTCCCTCCCCTTCCCCCCAGCCCACCCTCCATTCCCACCTCCTCCAGGGTAAAGCCTCCCCTGAGGACTGAGATCAACCTGGTAGACTCAGTCCAGGCAGGTCCAGTCCCCTCCTCCCAGACTTAATTGAGAAAATTTTAAGTTAAAATTGCTCATTTCAATTAGATACTACATCAAAAAAGAACAAAACAACAACAAAAGTTCTCCAGGACCCAGGAGGTGGAAGGATACCTTCACATGCATAACTTGGTATGCACACATAGATAAGCATACAAAATGCAAAAAGGAAAGAAAGAAGGAAACCAAGAAAGGGGAGTGTTTACCAGACGTATGCCTCACCATTTGGATCAAGCGGTGTGCTTTCAGGTGTTAACACAGGAAACTGAAGTAGTTACACTGAGCAATACTGTCAGGCAAAGTTGAACTCTCCCTCAATTTGTAAAAAAATGAACAGTTGAATCTGCCATCCACCCATTCTGGTGATTATGGATTACCTTGCATACAACAGCAAACTGTTGGTTACTTCCTGCTCCAATTACAAGGTAGCCGTCCTTGGTTTTAAAAGCCTTAAAAAGATACAACAAATACATATGTAAATACATGTCTGTACAAAGGCAAGACCAGAAAATTAGCTTAAATTCCTGATAATTCTATATTGAAAGCATAATATACTTAAATGATGCTATTCATCAATTCAACAGCAACCTAGTGCACATCTTTTGTTAACTGCATCTTTTTTTTTTCATTTAAGACTTTCAAGCTGCTTCCCAGATCTTCTACTAACTTCTACAATGTTGGAAAAAAAAGTGACAAAAAATTTAAGAAAATGTCTCATAATGTGAAATTCTACTTTCATTACACTGTAGATTGATTTTTGATATTTCAAAGTTTTGTGTTTTCTTGGTTTTCATTCTCACTTGTAGAACTTTGTACAGCAAAAAGTACAACTATTTATAAACAGTAAGAAAAATAGATGGAGGAAAAAAAGGAGTGAAACTCTTGGGTGTGTCTACTTTCTCCCATAGTGCCCTCCTTTCTCTTAACTCTTGTGCTTAAAATCTATTCCAAAGTATTTTTAATAAATTCCAACTCAGCTTCAGACTTGACGCTTTCCTGCATCAAAGCCAAAGATTCAGTTTTACATGAGTCAAGACTCCTAAAGATTAAGGGCTTTTTTCGGGCTGCTGAGGGCAACAGCTTCGAGCTGTGCCTCTATCTCCCCACTGATTGAAAAGAAGCTAGAGAGATGGCTCAGGGGATAAGGGCACTGACTGCTCTTCCAGAGGCCTGGGGTTCAATTCCCAGAACCCACATGGCAGCTAACAACTGTCTATAACTCCAAAATCTGATATCCTCACATGGACATACAAGCAGGCAAGATACCAAAGCACATTAAATAAACAAAAATAAATTTTAAAAGGTGTGTGCCACAACACCCCAAGAAAGAAAGAAGGAAGGAAGGAGGGAGGGAGGGAGGGAGGGAGGGAGGGAGGAAAGGGAAGAGAAAGGAAGAAGAGGGAAAATGAGGAGCTGGAGCTGCATTGCTCTTTGAGGATTTCATGTGTAAACTTCTGGATGATTTTCATTCTTTAGCAGTAAAAACCAACACATCATGATCAGTCTGTATTTCATGTGGCTTCAAATACATAAAATTGTCAACTGCTCTCTAGGGATAGGCTCAGATGGACAGAAACAGACCCTCAGATTAGGAGCTTCACCACCAAACAGCCCAGCTCTACTGGAAATCTTTTCCACCCACTTTTCCCCACATGTGACCTTAGTGTAATTGAAGAAGTCAAGCTTTACCCTCCAACTGCCCAATCAGTCAGTTCTTTCTCAACAAGCTCTTTGAATTTCCTTTCTTCCTGGGTCAGCTTTGCTCTGCAACCTCACCTGCTTTCCTTCACTAGGCACTGCTTTTGAGAAGAATGTCGTCATTCTAATCTTGCAGGTGTTACTTCTACGCTGATGGCCTCTGTACTATATTTGAGCACGTCCTTTGCTCAATCAGCTCTAGTCTCTTCTCTTCCTCAGAATTTATGTCTTCTGCCTCCACTGAAAATATCAACACAACACATGAATTTTTGTTCCTTTCCTCCACTTCTATGTGCCAGTAAAATGGAACCCACCTATACCTATGCACAACACTGCACTGCCAAGCCTTTGCCACTGTATTACCCTATCACTATATTGAATTGGTACTTTCTTGACTGCTCTGGACAATTATCTGTCACCTTCTCAGGCCCCTGCCTTATTTCCAGGTTCTGTTCATGTTCTCACCCATCTCTCTGTCTTGTTCATTGTCCATGGGCCTCCTTGCAGTATTTTCATCACCCCTTAGTACTCAGTCTTTGGTCTTTTTACTTCAGTTGATCTTATGGTAGTCACTAGGCACATATGGCTATTAAATTTATGTAGGCAAATAACATAAAGATGACATTTTATAATTCTATTCATATGAAATACCCAAAATAGATAAATCCCTGGAGATGGAAAATATAGTGGCTACCTAGGGCTGGAGAAGTTGGTAGAAGATGAGGAATAACTAATGAATTTGGATATTTTTTGGAAGATTGATGAAAATTCTCAGAATTTGGTAGTAATGATGGCTGTGTAGCTATGAAGATTCTAAAATTCACTTAGTTAAACCCTTATGAGGGCTAATCATGTGATTTTATATCAATAAAGCTGCTATTTTAAATTTTAAATTCACAATAATGAGCCACAATCCTACTAATTACTGGCCAAGCATTTCATAGCCAAACACACATGGCTGGTGGCTACTGCATTAAACAGTACATGCACAGAGCAAGAAATTATCTGTTGCATGCTACTGGCAGACTGGGAAATTGCATGTTTTTCTTTCTTATTCTTTCTGCTAGAACCAAAATCTAAAGAAAGTCAAGGTTTGTGATAAGGGGTTGACAAAGGGTAAGCAATTGATCAAATGACTAGTTCTAGGTAATAAAATAAGAGCTAAAATTTATCTTGCATTTAAAAACTACAGCAAGGTTTTATTCTGTTCAAATGCTACTAAAAAGATATCACATGAACTATTTTAAGCATTTTTCCTTGTTCACAAAGGCAAAAGCAAAGTGAGTGACAAGGATAATGTATTGGTGTTTCTCAAATGGCAGGAAGGGAGTTTGCAACAGACCTGTGGGTAAGCTACAAATGGTTTTAAGATCAGGTTTCTCAATGAACCATGGGGACCATGGCTAACTATGAAGGTATGCCAGTTCTCTACTATTTTATATTTTTTTAAGGTGAGGTGCAAATGGAAAGCAAAGTAACTATTTACTGTCAAGTATAATGCAAAGAGTCATTTTTTAAAAATTGATCAGTGACCTCTTCAATAAGTTTTGGGTAGGTGTGATTTCATTTTAATAAATTTCCTTAAATGAATTGAGGATCTGCTTGCTGTTTCCTTCAACCTCCATTATGTTATGAAACATCTTTACCAATATAAGGGAAATCTTAAGCAGACGCAGAAATTTTTTGATCATCTGTGAGAAAGTGGATACTCAGCAGCCCTTGAGCTAACAGAATATGACCAGACCACATATTATAAGGACTGGGGTAAGATTTTGAGTTATCTTAATAACTATTCCCTATTAATATTTTAAAGTGTACATAAAACAGATATGTTTTTTTTTTGTTTGTTTGTTTTGTTTTGTTTTGTTTTTTCGAGACAGGGTTTCTTTGTGTAGCTTTGCGCCTTTCCTGGAACTCACTTGGTAGCCCAGGCTGGCCTCGAACTCACAGAGATCCGCCTGCCTCTGCCTCCCAAGTGCTGGGATTAAAGGCGTGTGCCACCACCGCCCGGCAAAACAGATATGTTTTAAATAAGAATATTTTTAAAAACTAAATTAGCACCATAGAAAACTGAGTAAGGAGTGAATATGACAAGAAATAAATAAATTACCTACATACCATACAGTATTATAACCCAAAGAAACAGCTGCTCACAGAGCTCTTCTTCCTATTCTCACATACACTTTACATAACTAATTTCTTACTATATTGCTAGTGTTCTTTTTAATATCCCCTCACAAAAACATTGAAATGTCATCATTTCAATAATATATATATATATATATATATATAAAATTTCAATTACACATTCTGTTTATTTAACTGTAAGGTGTTTTGTTTTATTTTATTAGCTTTAAAGTAAGCATTAATATGACTGACATAATTTTTTAAATTTAATTTACAGTGAAACTGTTACAAAATGTCTAATCTAATTAAATTCTTTAAAATATATTCTTATCTCAACAAACATACTAAACTAGATAATTAAATCCTAGATCAATTTTATTTAACCTGCACAGTATCGGGCATGTTACATAATTTTGAAAGCTCAGGGGTTTTTTTGTTTTTGGTTTTGGTTTTGGTTTTTCGAGACAGGGTTTCTCTGTGTAGTTTTGCGCCTTTCCTAGAACTCACTTGGTAGCCCAGGCTGGCCTCGAGAACTCACAGAGATCACCCTGGCTCTGCCTCCCCAATGCTGGGATTAAAAGCGTGTGCCACCACCACCTAGCGAAGGCTCAGTTTTTAATTCTGTAACATAGGAATGATTAGTACTTACCTTTAAAATTATTATAATGATTAAATTTGTTAAGGTACATTTATTTATCCATCTAACATGTATCTCCAGACACTGGGTATAATGGGTTAAAAAAAAAATAACAAGTGACCCTTCACATAAGACTTACATTCTAATAAAATACTGACAAAAATAATAGCAGACAGTAACAGGCTCTAGAATGGAAGCATACAGACCATAATGAGATCTTAAAATACATAGTCATAATATTGTTAGGGTTGAGGGATGAGAAGCAAATAAAAATTCCCTTAGAAAATGCATTCTAAGCTGAGAACTAAGAATTCATATGTATGCACTGAATAGAGTTGGGGGAAGTAGATTGTTGATGAAAGAAAGAACGACATGTTAGGAAGAAAAATAACCTACAAGGAGAGAGAGTAGCACAAACAAGGCTGCAGAAGAAGAAAGAGAGTCAGGTGAAGTTGAAGGCCATAGGAAATATGTTATGTACCATAAAGCTGATGGGAAGTCCCTAAAAGGACTTGACTGATCATGCCTGTATTTCAGAAAGACCTCTCTCTCTCTCTCTTTCTTTCTCTCTCTCTCTCTCTCTTCACTGTAATCACTGGTTAGAGGATAAGATTAGAATTGAAGAAGCTGATTAAGAGGCTATTATGATGATCATGACAGAAGACAGTGTAGTCTTAGACTAAGGTCCAAGTGAGTAGAGACAGAAGAAAATGGGTTCAGTGAATAATTAAGTGGGAAAAGCTAGTAGAATTGATAACAGACTGAGTATGATGGTTACAAACTGCAGACTAAAGGACAGGATGATGCTTCAGGTGACACGGATACTTAGGGGAATTTGTGAGATTTCCCAGAGCAAATTTCTCAAGTAGCAACCAATTAAAACCTGAACTATGGATTATGGATGTCCCAACATTGCCGAAGAACTTTGGGTGACTGTCCAGGCAACCAGCTATCTCTGTCATTCTAGATTTTTGGAAGTTGCTTACA